AACTCAAGTCTATTTATTTGTTCAATCTAGGAAAACTCATAAAGTTGTTGAGATTTTTAGTTAAATCATGGATTTGGGTTTTTGTGTTCCAAGTCAAGGAAATACTATTCCATCTGATTGTCTCGCTTTTCTACACTGCTACTGACGTTTAGAATTTTTGTTTTTAGTAAGCTTCACATATAGTTATGGAAATGGGTAATGTAGGTTTAGCTGATGGGTTGAGTCCCTGAAGCATAACACCCAGCTAAGACGACCTCTTCAACGCTAAACTCAAATATGGGATCAAGTGCTTTAATGACTGGGGTTGTGGTATGTTACTGAGATGAGCGTTAATCCGGAATGTTTATTTCTGTTTACCACAAAATCATGATAACTAATGTCATTGGCATAATAGGATAATTAGCTTCATCTAGCATAGATTTAACTAGTCTGATTTCCTCCTCCGCAACAAAAATACTTGTTCATGACAGTATAAAAAGAATATAAGTATTTTTCGTTTTTGTTTTCATAATCCATGTATGAATAACTTAAAATAAGAAAATAAATAGATTATACCTCACAAAACGAAATTAAATATACAAATGCCAAAAAAAGAAAAAATGTACAATCAAACAAAAGATATCTTTTTAGTGTTTTTTGGTAGATGCAGCAATTCTAACATTCCACAATACATATAAAGCACAACACAATTTGTCTGCAATCATCTTCCTAATTTTTCACAATTATTCACCTTATATATAAATTGTTATAAATTTATATGGCGAAGCTCCAAGTAAAAACTTTAATTTGCTCGAAACTAAAGTATTTTAGATGAGATGATCATTCCTTCCATGATCTTAACTCCCAAAAAAACAAAAGTGACAAAGACAAACAAAACACTGGAATAAATAGCTGAAGCATTGTATGCAAACAAAGACATAAGTCTAGCTGTCTAGGTACATGACATCATTAAATATTACAAACAATAGTTACAATCCCATAACATCAAAGCAAGACTCTGAAATCTGAAGGGAACAAATTAAAAAGCTCAGAAGTTAATTAAAATCACAATCCATAACATGAATGCAAGGTTCTCGACTCTGAAGCAAATATAGTGAAAGCTTCCATAGGGTGCAGGCTGTTGCTTATTTATCCATCGCGAGATCAGCCTGCATGTAGTAGTGAAATACCAAATGAGCTCAAGAGTATATATAAATTAACATGTATTTGGTAGTAATTAAGAAGAGGAATAAAATATGTATTTAACATCCAAAAAGATAACAACTAATCACAATTCTATCAATTAATTGATTTTTGGATCAAAAGAAGATAGAAAATCAAAACATCTACCTTGGTTCTGATGATGACAACTTCGTTTTGCCTTTTGCTTTCACAAAATTTAATATAACATAAACATAAATAATTAGTAAACTCTTCTAAGATTGAAAGATATAGCTAAAGAAAAAATGACATTGTTATTAACGAATGATTGTTGAACTAAAATCTTACTTTTGTTATATTTACGAATTAAATTTTAAAATTTATGTTTTCATATTTTGTAGTATTTATATCCAAATTTTACCTTTGTATAATACAAGCATTGAATTTTGTTGGTGATATACAGAAGAAAAAATAAAAAAGAAATCTGGAAAAGAATTGAAAGTTTATAATCATATATAAGCCATATTATTGTACTAGTTAAAGTAGATTATTATGCCAATAAATGAAAGGTCACCTGTTGTTGCTTTATTCCGATTGGAAGCTCCACCACAGGTCTACCTACAAATGTTACAGTTAAAACCCAAAATTAGATTGAAGATTGAGGAATATCGATGAATTTCATTGGGGTCAAACAACGACGTTTTAGAGAAGGAGGAGAAGAAAGCTCCAGTGAAAAAGCTATAAGAGAAAGAGAAATGAGGAAATGAAATCTTAGAGAGAAGCAAGAGGAGTGGGAGGGATTACTGCACACCTCAACCTCTTGGACGTGTGAAATTTTGGGCCAATCTGCACCCCCAACTCGTCCGCATCTTTTACTCAAGGTCCGACAACCTTTAATTTTGAGTTGTGTAAGCGCAGTGAGGCGATCCATTCCCTCCGGAAGAGATGACAATTTTGGGCAATAACCAATCTCAAGTTTCTGAAGGGAAGTGAGATTTTGCAGCCACTCTGGTAGTACCTCAAAGTTTTTGCAGCATGCAATATGTAGAGACTGCAAAGTGCTAGCAGATCCTTCAAGAAGCAATCGTGGCAAATCCGTCAACGCATATAAATCCGATATTGAGAAAGTTTTAAGGCTCAAGTGTAGGTCTTGGTCTTCTGCTTCTTCTGCTTCCATGCATAAATTGATTTTTGGGCAGCCACCGATGAGGATTTCCTCTAATTTGGTTAGAAATTTCAGACTTCTGGGAAGTGAGATCAACCTGACACACTCATGGATAGCCAATCTTCTAAGTGATGTGAGGTGTTGCATCCCATCAAATATAGATTCTAGCCTATCACATTTGGACAAGTGTAGCAACTGAAGGGCACTCCAACATCCTGGTTGAATATCCCTTAAAAGCAGAGCATCTGTGGTTATCTCTAGAAATCTGAGACTGATCAAGCTTTGCAAGTTTTCAGGTACTTCTATCAGTGGAACACCAAATAAGCGCAAAGTTAGCAAGCTCTGAAGTTTACAGATAGAACTTGGAATTTTCCTCATCCTACGACAGAGGCTCAAGTCAAGATATCTTAAATGCTTCAAGGTACCAATGGATTCGGGTAATTCCTCTAACAATGTATAGGAGAGATCAAGTAGACGTAGATACTTGAAATTCAAGATGCAGGCGTTAACAAACGATTCATCAATGCTCCTGTTTTCTGTTGAAAATGGAAGTGGTGGGACCACTATTGTCCGCACTCGTTTTAACTTCTTCAAAGATTGCGGAACTCCTAATGGACTGTCAGCAGAAAATGACAAATGTCGAATTTTTTCAACAACTTTTATCGGTTGACGATTTACGGTTAAACACTCTGTGTGTGATACTTTTAATGCGAGATCATGTATCAAATCATGCATTTTAAACCGATAAAATGACCCGCAGTCTGTGACATCTTGGACAAAACACCTCAACCATAACTCCTTAAAATATGTAATCCCGATATCTTCCCATTCTTCGTTTTGATTGGAGCTTGCGAGGAGTCCATTGGCCATCCAAAATTGGATGATGTAATCAGTGTCATACAAATAGTCTTTTGGGAATAATGATAAATAAGTAAAGCATCGTTGCAAATGAGATGGCAAATAATGATAACTCAACTTTAATACAGGTAAAATATCATTTTCACTTTGGTCAAGTCTCCAGATTTCATTATCTCTTAATAAAATCCATTCATGTTCATCTGTTTTGGAAAAAAGTAAGCTTCCCAATGTTCTCACTGCAAGAGGAACTCCTTTACATTTCTCTACAATTTTTTCCCCAATTCTCATGAGATTAGGATATCGTCCCTCATCTCCATCTTTAAACGCCCATTTTGTAAACAAAGTCATACAATTTTCATGAGAAAGACCTTTTAATACATAAGGATCACACGAACTCATTATTGAGGCAACTTTTAACGAACGAGTAGTCATGATTATTTTACTTCGGGATAAGTTGCCCTTTGACATCAATAAATTTTTGAACTCAATCCATTTGACACGATCCTCATTCCACACATCATCTAAAACCAGCAAAAAGTTCTCATCCTTCACAAGACTTCGCAATTGAGTTTGTAAGGTGTCAATTTTTGAATCATCACAGGTTTTTTTACTTATGGAATAAATCATCTCCTTGAGCAATCTACGAAGATCAAACTCCTCTGACACACAGACCCATATTCTCAATGCGAAAAGCTTAATAACCCATTCATCATTGTATACGCATTGAGCAAGTGTGGTCTTCCCTAGACCCCCAATTCCAACTATGGGGATGACAGGGATGTTTCCACTCTCATCACTTGGTTCCTTTAAAAGATTTATAATGTTTTCTCTATCTTCATCTCGACCAATGACATCCGAAGAATTCACAAAAGAGTGAGTCTCCCTGTGAATAACACGTCGGTTGTCTACTTGCTGTCCTAAATTAAATCTGTCCCATTCAGTGGCAATTTTGTCTATCCTCTTATTGATCTCTTTGATTTTATGACCCATTTTTGAGGAGAATGCTAGTGGAACAAAGCATGAAGGCAAACATCGTACCTTTATGCTGGTGCTTGGATAATTCACGACCTCTTTTCGCAGAGCTTCACACTCGATCTCATCAATGACATCTTCAGCATCGTAAAAGAGGTCTCTAAGCTTCCAAATGGAAAGGCGCAACGCTTCATTCTGGTGCTGTTGCCGCTCAGCATCCAAAAGAACAGCTTTGATGCGGGTCATGGTGTCCTGGAGCTCTTCCAGATCATTTTCGACATTAAATGCCAAGCGAACTTCTTCTACAGCAAGGAGGGCTATTTTCTCCAGAACCCTTTCTGCAGTGTTGAACAGAAATGATTCTGCCATAATTAAGCTCTAAAGAGCAAGGGAAGAAGAAAAAAGGATTTTCTTTTTTGTGGGGAAGACAGGATATTATGCACTGAATAATTTTCTTCCAAGTTGTCTTGAGCTTATATCGTGCATCAAAGGACTTCCGTTTGATAGTTGACTTTACTTTTTGGTAAATGACAGTTCACCTTCGCTGTGTAGCACTTTCTGAGTAATTTCGTTCATTTTTACTTTTTAGCATAGAAGTATATTACTTAGAGACCGGTGAGACCGCCCAAGCTTGACAGGCCAGAATATTCAAATGTTGATTTTGTTGACTGCCGGGTTCTTTCATATTCTTTGGGTCATGGATTTGGTTTGGATCAAGCTTTATAGCTCTTTAACAGCTAGACTTCATATCCGAGTTGTTGAAGAATGGGAAATTGAAAAGAATAGTAAAAAATGCATAAAAGAAGAAAACAGAAGGCAGAATTTGGTTACAATAGCATAAAACCTTAGAGATATGCTGCAAGACTGTACACAATGCTTTTATTTGCACTTGACTTCATAAAATCAGAGAGTATTACAGCGTGAACTCTAGAAACTCTATTATAACTTAAACTCTCAACCACCTGAGCTCAAATCACCTAGTTGCTCAATACATACAGACAGAACCAGAAACAAGGACAAACTGATTACGCCAGGTATGGAGAAGCTTAAGGCTAAAGCAAATTCTAGATTATTGGCTTCGTTGCCATAGCAGAATTTATACATACTACATGCAGACATGATCAAACAACTCTTTTAGCAGACATTGCAATCTGGATTGCATTTAATTTCATTTACAGAGCCTATTGACAAGAGAAATTTGTAACTCAAAGTTGATAAAGTGCTCACTCCCAGTCAGTGTCAAAGAAACCAGCGTCTTTCATCTCCGAGTAGTAGACATTCTCTAAATGCAAGTCTTCCTCCTGCGCACGTTAAAAATATTTTAACCGTGCTAACATAAAATAAGGCTGTGCTAAAGAATCAATTAACAAGATGAAATTTTTACTATGAATCTGATATAAAAACTACCAAGATTGGGGGATCATGATGGATGCAGATAAATGATTACCTGGAAAAAATCTGCCAGAAAAGTTATATACAGAAGAGGAAGGTACAAGGCATGGTAGCAAACAAGTGTGGCGCTGTACAACCTGTCCATAATATTTCCCATTCTCTTTAAAGTTCTTGAAAGGGAACACAATATACTTACATAAATAGCAAACAGAACTCTCCAATTAAAAGGAATAACAGCTTGTATTACCAAAAACCAAAACCAGCACCATTTCCAGTTAGTCCACAAGCAATCAGAGCTAGTGCGTTCAAGATGAACATTATAGCAATGTATTTGTAAAATGCAGGTCGTGCTGCAGAAGAAGAGAAGAGATTCCAGGTGACATAACTATGCAACTACTGTAAATCGCTAGCAAAAATGTATGTAACTCAGATGAGCATACCAGGTAACCTTTCTCTCCACTTGGAGTGGTACATAAACAGTATGAAGCCATAAATAGCAGTCAGCACTAGCCTGTGAACAACCCACAGGCCCCATTTCACCTGATGTGGATGCTCGGTATTGTCAATGAACAATGGGACACCAAATCCAAATAGGTAGATAGCCTAAAATAGGAAAAAGTCCATTGAAATATTAATATCATAATATATAATGTATTGATGCCAAAAAGTCAAAAGCATATACAATAAAAGAAAGGGAAAAAAAAAACACATTGTATGTTTTCCATGTTAGAAAATAAAAACAACTCAAAATGTATATACAATCACACTTCACATTTTAGATTGCTTAATAAGTTAAAGTATGTCAACAATCTAAAAATAGGTCACATGGAATGCAAACTCTTCTATGAATACCAAAGTGCAGTAAGGAAGAAGCCATCGTGCTCTTCCATCACCATCCCGTGCATGTCTTCAAATAAGTAGCAACAGATACGCAACTTCCAAGAAGGGTGAAATAGTACGAATAAAAGAAATACCTTCAGAAGTAAGTCCAAACCAACAATAAGCCCTGAAACAACAAATGTCCGTGTCAAAGCTTCCAACCCACTAGCATAGTTTCCTTGAAGTAAAAATGCCACCAGGCTAACTTCTAGGAACAACATCCCAGAAGTTGTAAATAATGACAAGATATTCCATGCCATTTCCTTTCCAGGAGTGCATTCCCAGGCCTGTGTCAATGAAGAGAAAGTTTAAACCAAGCCATCCAGCTAGGAAATAGAAAAAATATTTAACTCACTCACAACTAGAATAAGAATCTCCAAGGGTCAATGCATGCATATTTGATTAATCTGAATGGATATGAGT